CGGGGTTGACCCCCATGCTCTAACATTGGGCTTGACCCCACACGCTAACGTTGGGGGTCAAACCCATGCACCGCCTCAGGGTGGACCCATGCTCCCAAGGCTAGGGTTGAACCCATGCACCACCTGGGGTTGACCCCCATCTTCTAACGTTGTGGGGTCTGTCCCGTGCGCTGCCTGGGGCTGAAACCGTTCTCCAACATCAGGGTTGAACCTATGCTTTGGCTGGGGTTGAACCCATGCTCTAACACTGGGGTTGGACCCACGCGCCAACATTGGGATTGGAGCCACAGACCAACTGGAGTTGACCCCCCCACTCCAGCATTGGGGTCGAACCCATGCACTGCCTGGCATTGAACCCATTCTCCAACATCGGAGTCAAACCCAGGCTCAAACGCTCATGCTCTAATGTTGTGGTTGAACCAAGGCACCAACTGAGACTGGACCCACATGCCAATGTTGGGGTTGAACCCATGCTCTGACTGGGGTTGAACCTACACTAACATTGGGGTCAAACCCCCTTTTCCGATGTTGGGGTTGAACCCATCCTCTGGTTGGCCTTGACCGCACATGCTAACATTGGGGTTGAACCCACTCTCTAACATTGGGGTCGAAACCATGCACGGGCTGGGGTGGACCCACACTCTTAACACTAGGGTTGACCCCCCACACACTAACGTTCAGGTTGACACCCCGCACTCCATGCTCTTAACATTGGGGTCAAATTCAGGCGCTGCCTGGGGGGGTGGAACCCATTCGCTGACATCAGGGTTGAACCCATGCTCCAACACTGGGGTTGAACCAAGGCACCTGCTGGGGGTTGGACCCATGCGTCAACATTGGGGTCAAACCCATGCACCACCTGGGGTTGAATGCAGGTACTGGACTGAGGGTGGACTGACATCCCACTGTTGGGGTTGACCTCCCCCCCCCAAAACGCTCCAACTTAGGGGGTTGACACCCACACTCCACTGTTGGTGTAAATCCACATTCTTAACATTTGGGC